TGATCATCTTGGGGGTTAATTTTGAGCAGTATCCTTAAGTACTGTATGTGTTTTCTGTAATATATTAATCTGTCCTTTTGTATTTAATGTAATCAAATAAGGTTTGCAACTTAAATGTGTTATGTTTGCTGCAATTACTTGATCAGACTATAACAGCTTCAGTATTTCATGCCTTCAAGTTCAACTCACACACAAGTTCCCTGTCTTAGATGAAGCAGTTGTTTATGCTTAAGTTGAAATGGTCTTACCAACATGGTGTTTCTCACTACTTCGTTGGAAAATGTCATAAATTCAATCACACCTCCCAAAAAAAAATTGTTGAGATAAGGCGTAAACGACGACACACACGGGTGTGTATAAATGATTAATAAGGCAATGTTTATTTCTGTCACCTGAATTCAGTAGTGGCAAGTTTGATTGATTTTTCTGTCTTATGAAAAAATTGTATGGCTATGAAAAAAATTACAGTTTTAGTCCACATGATATAAGTAAGTTGACCCTCTTTAATGGCTATTAACATCAGTTTGATCCACGCTTACATTACATTTAAAATGGATATAAATTTGTACTAAAAAAAATGGATAGAACTTGTTGAAAAAAAAAAACCTTGGGATAATGGGTTGCTTTATATATATATATGAAGAAGGATAAATTAAAAATCTGATAAAGGATAACCACAAGGTGTGGTGCGGTTGGCAAACTGCCACCTCCAGCTGGCGAGCTACCTAGTGCCTTAATGGCAGGGGTTCGAAACCCTTTGGAAGCACTTTGTGGCCAAAGGCAAGCCGAACCTCGAGCGGGGATTAATTCACACCCTTCGGGTGTGGGGACACCTCATGGTATTTACCCAAAAATCTGATAAAAGATGCCATCACAGGTAGGTAGGCAGTGGCGGACCTATTAAGGCGCAAGGAGGTGCAGCTGCACCTCCCCTCACCGGAAAAACCATTGTAGGTGCTTCAAATTGCCCATTTGCTCAACTAGTGTACAGATTACCTTATTTCCAATTTCAACATTTAAGTAAATGTCTTTGTCCTTTTGCTTTCATTTATTTTTATATTACTCCATTTATTTAAGTTTACAATGTAAATAAGGAAGTACCCCCCATTTGGATTCAAATAAAAATACTAGAAAATCAAATTCCCACCAAATCAAAATATGAAAAATCGGTTTTAGTGCAAAATACGATTTAGGCTAAAAATGATGGCTCATTAAGTCAATATATACTTCATACTAAAATCCCATAAAATCAAGTTTTCTTATTTGATGTGTAAGGAATAAAAGCCGCCAAAAATTATCTTGAGAAAATGATTATTCTGAAAAACCATTTTTCATACTTAGTCAATATTGCACCTCCGCTAAAAAAATTCTGGGTCCGCAAATGCGGTAGAGTGTATATTTGGGTTTTATAGTTTCTTCGTAGTAGGTTTTTTCAATAAATATGAAAACAACACATTACCTCTCATCCACGGCACACACATTCTGACACAAATTACAAAACAGGAGATAAAATTTGTCTTTATTGATGCAGGTGCAGCCATCTTCCTCTGCAATATTAGATCAATAATAGCCTTTTATATCGTTTCATTGGTACTAGAATGTTCCTAGCCTGCTGCCTAATTAGCACGAAATCTATCTCTTCGATGATGAATGTTGAGCAGTAGGGCCTAATAATTATTCTAAGGAGTTCTGCATGACTTTCTTATAACTTATTAATCCCAATTTTATTAATGGTTCTTGCCTTAATCATTTTAGTTTCCTAGCGGCGACAACGATAGAGGATGATATAGACCATTCTAGCGCGCGCTTATGTTCGGTTCAAGTTGCAGTGATTGAATTTGAGAAAGAGATGGCAGAAGTAATATGAGCTGCAAGAAACAAGAGGCTGGTTTTGGCTTGCAATGCAGTGCAATAACATGCATGATTGATTGAAATATCATGTTTGAAATGAAGGCAGATGGATGACATGGATGTGTTGTAATTTTAGTTGCCGTTGAGCTTCATTTATGGTTGGATGGATGAGAGATTAATTAGATGTTTATCCACCAGATGATGCATAACTATGACAGGTTCACAATTATATTAATTCATCAAAAATAAAAAAAAAACTAATTTTGGTATACTTATCATTAAGCAACATAGAGATAGAGATAGAGCATAGAGATAGAGGGCCAACTTGGTAAAGGCCAAGAGTTTAATTTGACGGAGAGATTGCCTTTTAGGGTTTTTGAAGTCAAATTGACTTCCATTATATCCAGCAATACAGATCAGCCACTAGGTCAGATTAAAATGCAGTTTTTTTTAAAGCTTTATATAGTGAGCTTCAATTGAGGAATCCCTCAAATACTTGAAGGCCATCACACATTGTTTTTTAATGATTCGAACCGTCTAATTTTTAGATATTCCCTCAAAGATCATCTCTACAAAAAATCTCATGAATCCGAAACTACTTGTAAATAAACAAATTTACAAATGTGATGCAGTTTGTAAAGAAACAGTTTACAGCACAGTCATTTTCCATGGCCCTTTTTCTCTCTTAACATCACCAAGGAGTTTTAAAGCAAAAGAATGCATTGGTTAGCATTTGCTGGTAGTTTGAGCAGACTCTACTTTTAGGAATGAAATTGGAACCATTGCATCTTTTACAATGAAAAGGTTTCACAAACTATTGTTGTCGAATAATTATTTGCTAGATTAATCTTTATACTTTCTATTATCCATGACCAAAAGCTTCAAGGTCTACAACTTTTGTATCACCTCCCAAACTCATTAGGTAGATACAGTCTTAGCTGAATGCACTTTTAGAAAATGAATTCTGAATCCAAACACACACATAACTATAAATAACGTCCACGACAGGGACGGACCCAACCATAGGCTAACCTGGACTACAGCCCAGGTGGCTTTTATTATTTTTCAGCCCAAATCACATGAACCCCACCCTACAACCTTCCCCACATCACGCATCGGTCCTTCAACATGTTCAATTTTCTTGGTTGGTCATATTTTATTGGTTGAATGTTAGCGGAAAAAAATATTTTATTGGTGGAATCTTACAATTTTCTTTCCTCAATTTATTGTTACTGAAATTTGGGGATTTTTTAAGATTCAAGAAGTATAAATTAGGGATTTTCAATTCAACGTTATGAATTATCAATTAGGGATTTGTAATTTGGTTTTGTACGTAAAGTAAATTTAGCCCATCTCATTTTGAAAGTCTGGATCCGTCCCTAGTGCACAATGGCTTAGTATTCAAGTTTACCAATACGTATGACTTGTGAGTGATTGCATGTATTCAAAATTTGAAATAAAATGACTTATAATTCTTGGAGGATTTACCGAAGTACGAGCACTATTCAACAGTTATACTTTTAAATGGTTTCAGAAAATTTCCAAGAAAATTATTTTAAATGGTGAGAAGAAAAAAAAAATGGCAAAAATTTAAAAAATTTCCCGGGCTGAGGTTCTGTACGTTACATGGGGATGGGGAATAGGCAGGCAGAAGAACTCAGAGGCTCTCTCTCACTCAGACAATCACCGAGACAGGCGCATGGACAGTGGACCCCACCCCCACGATGCTAGCGGCATCACCGGCTTTGTCTCTGGGCCTTTGCCCAAAATTGGAACACAATAACAGAAGCCTCCTCTTCTCACCATTTTCTCTCTCTTTTTGCCTACAATAAGCGCCATTGGTCTCAGAAGCGTTTGGCACTCTACCCCCTCATTATTTGTATCACTCTCTCTTTCTCCGAGGGGGCCTCTCAGGAGCAGCCACTTGCATTTTGTTGCAGGGTCTCCGAGAGGGTAAGAGAGAGAGAGAGAGCAACAACAATGGCCATTCTTCCCAGGCCTTTAGGTGTTGTGGCTGTTGCTGCTCTCGTTTTTGCTATT